CGCTGTCTTGTCCCGCCTCCTCGGCTGCTGTCACAGTCGTGGCTGAAAACTGAGATCTTGAGTGAGATCTGGGAGAGAAGCGACGACGCTCTCATTCCGGCTGACTGCTGACGCTCTGCTGCTGCACGGGCTTGTTCTTCATCACCCGACCGGCAGCTGCTCGCGTGCGCTGCCTTCTCGCCACCACTCAGCAGGCTCTGGGAGATGCCGTCCATCAAAGGAGGGTACAGATCACAGACAGACAACAATCCTCAGTATCGTCCTCTACCGACGAACGAGCGTACAAACGTCCTCGGTGAAGGTCGCCATTGAGCTCGCAGGGGGAAGCGGGTGGTGTGCCCGTGACATGACATTCATCGTTTCTATTTGACTCACTTGCCGTGCGCGTCTTTCCAGTTTTCTCTGCTCTCCCCGTCTCCATGCACTGATTGATGGCTGCGTACGCGGATGCTCTCTCTCTCAGCTGCCTGCCTGCCTGCCTGCCGTGTACTGTACAGACAGATGTGTCCTTCGCCTCTCGTGTGTGGATATCTAACATGCCCGACCCGTCCGTCTATCATCGACTCATCCAATCGGAATCGGGATTCATCCATATCGGTTCGGGACGTGTGTGTGTCATCATGTCCGCCCACCGAGGTATACACACATACAAATACACCCGCCAACCGACCCATCGGATTGGCAGCAAGGCAAGTGCAGAAACTTACGATACACAGTCTCGATCATGATCTATCACGATAAAAGGCCATGATCATGATAAAGCTACACATACACACACACACACACGGAGGCAGAAAGAGAGGGAGAGACGGCGAGAGGGGGAGATAGCCAGACAGTCCAGTCAGTCCCTCGTGACCTCCTGCCGGCAGACAGATACACCACACCATTCGCCCTCCCCCACACACAGGCTGCCTGCCTACGGACAGCATCGGTCGGACAGCATATATATGTCTCCGTGAATCACACAGGCACGTCAGTTGCCCTCTGCTCAGCACTCTGTGACTCGAAGTACCCGTCATATGCGCCCGGTAGCAGATACGCGAAGGGCCGATAAGAGGGAGCACTGCAGGCCAGGCAAACACACATCACACACACAGAGAGAGAGAGGGCCAGAGACAGGCAGTGAAACGGCCATGGACACAGACACAGGCAGGGCTACTGACGTACCTGATCATGACATGTTGTGCCTTGTAAGTGGAGATTCCATAACAGCCGGCCAGCACAGCACCGACCGCCACCTTAAGCCACATGCACTCTAACCCCATCGCCGACAAGGCCTTGGGAAAGAGATGCACGGTCAAGATGCCCATGGCATTAACGGCGACGATGAGGCTATGTCCTGCCGCGAGGCTTGTGCACCATTCCGTGAGCCCACTGGACTGGCCCATCGCTTGCCGCTTCCACACACAGCCGACCACGAGCAGTGCGACGACCACATAGGTCGGGATGAATCGGCTCCAGAGCTCAGCTGAGACCCCCAAATGCAGCAGTGACCAGGTGGCTATCAGTACGTAGTAGGCCCCCTCCCTCAAGTAGAGCGACACCACGCCCATAAAGAGTCCACCAGGATCAGCAGCATGTTGGTGCCGCAGCCGCAATAGCGCCTCTCGTGTGGCCTGGTGCACCCTCTCGCCGTTCAGCAGGCAGTAGGGCAGGCAGATCGCGGATACGTGGACCAAATACACATAATAAGTCGCCGACATACTCAAGAACCATCTCGTCTTGTCGCAGACCGCGTCACGCATAACCCAGGCGCGAATCCCGCCGCCCGCTGCCCACATGTCGTTGCCGAACACTGCCAGTGGCGCGCCAGCAACCGTAGCGATAAACGCGATGGCCATCCGCACCCCACACCGCAGCGAAGAGCTGCCGCCATGTTGCCGCCCCGCCAGCCAATCGAACGCTCCTAGAGTGAGGCCGACCAAGATGGCCGTGGAGATAACTCGGTGGAGAGGGAACCCTCTGGCCACTATGTTGGTGTCGTCGCAGCTGAAGAGGACTCCTACCAATAGCGGCAAACAGGCCAATAAACTGTATGAGACAGACAAGATGGCGTCTGGGATGAGGCCGACAGGCAGACGAAAAGGGCCGCGTGGACCAACGTCATAACGCCTGAACCAACACACAGGGTAACCAATGCACATCAATCACAGATACCTCTGTGTACCCAGCTCACGTCCGGCAGACGTCACACAGCGACTTCCTCCTCCTCCCCGGAGCGCACACCCAGCCGCCCAGACACGTCTTGTGAACCCATCTGAGTGTCCCTCGGCAGCCGCAAGGCGCCAAGAATATGCCGGTCTCAGGAGTCTCATCACACGAGTGGCAGAATCGGCACACAGCGGCCGGCTCCGGCTGGGCCAGCCAGGACAGCACCGCCATTGTGCGCTGTCTTGTCCCGCCTCCTCGGCTGCTGTCACAGTCGTGGCTGAAAACTGAGATCTTGAGTGAGATCTGGGAGAGAAGCGACGACGCGCTCATTCCGGCCGACTGCTGACGCTCTGCTGCTGCACGGGCTTGTTCTTCGTCACCCGACCGGCAGCTGCTCGCGTGCGCTGCCTTCTCGCCACCACTCAGCAGGCTCTGGGAGATGCCGTCCATCGAGGAGGGTACAGATCACCAGATCACAGACAGACAATCCTCACAGTATCGTCCTCTGTCGAAGACTGCCCACCCAACGCCCAACGGAGGGAGCAGATCAGAAACACTCCTCAGCGTCAGCTCGGGGCGCCGTTGAGCTCGCAAGGGAAAGGGGGAAGGGCAGAAGGGAGTGAGGATGGTTTTTCTGCCCCGATGTGGTGACTGCGATTGTCGCTAGCTTGTTGTTTCAGTGAGTAGCGTTGTGGCGCCATGGGAGTTCCGACGTTCTTCAAGTGGCTGTGCGTCCGCTTTCCAAAGATAGTCGTCGACGCCCAGGAACCCAACTCAGGTGCACTGCACTGCACATACACATACACACAAATATATGCCACGCAGACAATCTGTTTGTTTTCATCCTGTGTGCCGATCTGATCTGGCTGCTGCCTGCCTGTGGGTGTGGTGTTTAGGTGTGTCCATCGACGGCACGGTGATCCCAGTGGATGACCGGCAGCCCAACCCCAATGGCGAGTTCGACTGTCTGTATCTCGACATGAACGGCATCATCCACCCTTGCTGCCACCCAGAGGACTCGGTCAGATCAGACACACACAGAGCAGAGAGAACGAGACGGTGGGTGACACATGTGGCGTGTCCACTGTGCTGTGTGTGTGTGTGTGTGTGTGTGTGCAGCCGACGCCTGAGTCAGAGGACCACATGTTCCTCAACGTGTTCCACTACATTGACAAGTGAGTGGAGTCAGTGGTGTGGGGCACTTCAGAAGGGTGGCACACTCATCACTGGCTGGCTGGTCCTCCTTTCCCCCTGCCGCCCTCCTCATCTCAGGCTGTTTTCGATCATCCGGCCGCGGAAGCTGCTCTACATGGCCATCGGTAGGGTATACAGACAGACAGCCAGCCAGCCAGCCAGACACGACGGATGGACACCCACACGTGTGGGCAGATGGCGTGGCGCCCCGTGCCAAGATGAATCAGCAGCGGTCGCGTCGGTTCAAGGCCGCACAGGAGGCCCAGATACAGGAGGAGCAGTACACCCTGCTCAAGGAACAGTTCGAAAAGGGTACGTATGCACCGCACCCGCACACAACACACACGCGCGAGATGCGCACACGCGGTGCGGACACACATGGATGGACGGATGGTGTGATTGTGATTGTATGACCGGTCGGTCGGTCAGATGGTCGCGAGATCCCGCCTCCGAAGGAGCACTGGGACAGCAACGTCATCACCCCCGGCACACCCTTCATGCACCGGCTCTCAATCGCTCTCCAGTAAGTAGCCAACCACACGCCCACACACAACACAACACCTGCCCTGCACATTCATCTCATCGTGTCTGTCGCACTGTGTTTGTTTTGTTGTGTGTGCCCCTAAGCTACTACATCCACGATCGCATGATCAGCAACCCGGCGTGGAAGGGCATCAAGGTCATCCTCTCCGACGCCAACAGCCCGGGGGAGGGCGAACACAAAATCATGGCATTCATACGGGCGCAGAGATCGCAGCCTGGGTACACAACACACACACACACACAGAGAGAGAGAGAGAGATCCAAACACACGCGTGTGTGTGGTCCTCTTATGGGTGTGCTGTGCAGGTATGACGCTAATTTGCGTCACTGTTTGTACGGTGCCGATGCGGATCTGATCATGCTGGGCCTGGCCACACACGAGGCCCACTTCTTCATCATACGCGAGATCGTCTTCACTCCTGACACATCCAAACCCCCTCTCTCTCAGGGTCAGTCGGGCCAGGGTGTGGGTGCTGACGAGGCCGACGAGGCGGAGAAGAAGGCCATGACGTGGAAGCCCTTCCAGATCCTCCGCATCCCCGTCCTCAGAGACTACCTCAGCTTCGAGCTCGACTTCCACGTACGCTGTCCCTCGACAGACACCGTGCGCTTCACGTGTCTGTGGTCATCTTTCTCTGTCTCTCTGTCTCTCTGTGTGTGTGGGGGGCTTTAGAAGCGCGAGGCGCGTGCCAAGGCGGGCACGGGGGAGCAGCCGCGGCAGCTGCCCTTTGCGTACGACTTGGAGCGGTGCATCGACGACTTTGTGTTCATGTGTTTCTTCGTCGGGAACGACTTCCTCCCGCACCTGCCGTCGCTCTCCATCCACAAGGGCAGCATCGACCAGATGGGTGAGGGAGTTGGGGAACGAATCAATGACGGGCACGCACCCGATGAGAGGACACAACACACACGTGTTTCTGTCCTCTTCCTTCTCTGTCTCGTGTGTGTGCAGTCGACCTATACATGCAGGTGAGTGAGTTGAGTGCGGAGGCATCGATCGCATCCCCGCGGGGCACACACATGTGGTGTGTGTGTGTGTGTGTGTAGGTGCTGCCGGTGTTGGGAGACTACCTTACCAACGAGGGAGAGGTCAACATCCCGCAGGTCGCACAGTTCGTCACATACCTCGGACGCGTTGAAGACGAAATCTTCCACAGAGACCTCATCAAGAAGGTACGCAGCCCCACCCCACCACCCCTCCCACACCTACACCCACACACGTGCATCCATCTCTCTCTCGCTCTCTCTCTCTCTGTTGGTGTGTGTGTTGCAGGAGCGAGATCGTCAGCGTCGCGAGGCGGCCCTGCGCGACCAGGAGGCCACTCGCCAGGTGGTCGTCAAGCCTTCAAAGAACGAGCCCCTCTTCCCAGCCACCAAACCCATCCCTCCACCAGCACCACCACCACCACCGGCAGCCCCCATGGCCAACAACCCCAATGAGGAGGCGGCCAGACGTCTGAAGGAAAGGCTCATGGCTGCGGCTGCTGGTGGGGGCGGCGACAATGAGGATGCCAGCGATGCCAAAGATGCCGACATGGACAACGGAAATAACGAGAATGGCCCGGAGAACGGGTGCGTGTGCGAAGGAAGGCTGGGCAATCCACATGAATGGACCTCTCTGTCTGCTGCAGGTCTGGACCTTCAGCAGCCCCTCCAGCACCAGCACCAGCACCACCTGCTGCTGCTGCTAGCGTGACGCCTGTCGCCGCGCCCAATGAGGGGCCGGGTGTCGTCGGTGAGAGCGCGTTGACATTGACGGTGCGCGAGACGGGGGAGGGCGTGAGCTACAGCCGGACGGGGAAGGGCAGGAGTCTCGTCATGCTCACGGGCGACGACCAGCCGCCACCCAAACGCATCCGCACCGACGAGGAGGGGGTACGTGAAGCCTTCTACACACACACACTCACACACACACACACACAGAGAGAGAGAGAGAGGGCATCCACACCACGCACACCGTTGGTTGATTTGTTGGTTGTGTTGTGTGTCAGGGGAAGCGCAAGGTGGATTATGACAAGCCGAAGCTTCAGGTCGATTATGACGAGTTCAAGCAGACACTCAAGGAGCAGATCAAAGCCAACAACGAAGTGGCCGAACCGGTCGGTAGATGTCCCGGCCAGCCATCTATCTGCCCACCCAACACACACGATTCTCTCCCTCCCTCTTTCTCCGTGTGTGTGTGTAGGATGACCCGGTGCAGCTTGGTGTGGGTCGCAAGGAGGACTATCGCGAGCGATACTACCGCCGGAAATTCCACATCGAAGAGGAAGACGGTATGCTATGCCCACGGGCCGGCCATGTGGTCTGTCTGGGTGCTCCACCCACCCTCCCTCCCTCCCTCTCCCTCCCTGTGTGTGTGTGTGTGGTGCAGATCTGGAGGAGTTCGCCACGCGTGTGTGTCAGAAGTACGCTCAAGGGCTGGTGTGGGTCATGAAGTACTACTACCAGGGCTGCTCCAGCTGGCGGTGGTTCTTCCCCTTCCACTACGCACCCTTCGCAAGCGACCTCGCCAAGCTCGACCAGTGGCCGAACGAAATCAAGGCACGCTCACACACACAATGAGAGCGAGAGGGAGAGGGAGAGGGCGAGTGTTGTGAATGCGTTTTCGATGCGTGTGTTGTGTGTGTCGTCAGAGTGCATTCGCAGCTGATTCGTTGGGTGAGCCCTTCTCGCCCTTCCAGCAGCTGATGGCCGTCCTGCCGGCCAAGTCCGGCCACTGCCTACCCGAGTAGGTGGTGCATCGCAACACACACACACACACACACACAAAAGGATATGCCCATCACTACATCCATCAATCAGGTGCTACACCCGTCTGATGCGTGAGCCCTCCTCGCCCCTCATCGACTTCTACCCCACCAAGTTCAAGGAAGACCCCGACGGCAAAAGGTAGGTTCCAACCGCTCCTCCCTCCCTCCCTCCCACCCACACATACATACATACATACGCACACACACACACATGAATCCATCCATCCATCCATCAGGTTTCGCTGGCAGTGGGTGGCCATGCTGCCCTTTATCGACGAGGCGCGGCTGCTGGCCTCCCTCGCCCCACTCCACGGCCAGCTGACGGACATCGAGAGGCAGCGGAACGCCCCCGGCAAGGAATACATCTTCGTCCACTGTCAACACGCACTCGCCACACAGGTACTGAGCAGAGTGAGATGGGGGTGTGGGGTTGGCCGGCATGTGGCGGATTGTGTGGATGTGTGTCGTCTGTTGTCATCAGCTGCGTGGCGTGAACCTTGCAGAGGACCCTGAGAAGATCGTCGAAAACATCACGGTGAGCGGAAGCGGTCGTGTCGTGTGTGGGTCATCCATCCCTCGAACGGCACTCATGTGTGTCTCGGGCGCTGTGTGTGGTCACTCAGCTGTCTTTGAGTGACGGCCTCGGTGGTCGCGTGACGCGCCACCCAACAGCTGCATTGCCATCGCAGCCGTTCAAGTCCCCCATTGGCAAGCGCAGAACACAGGGACACTCCGGCACACACACATCAGAGACACAGCCATGTGACGTGTGTGTCCGCTGCTCCCTTGGTATGGTGCAGAGGGTGAGCCCGACTTGGTGTCCGAGTGTGCGTCGGCCATCTACCTCTGCCTCCCCTCCCCACCGCGGCATCTCTGTCGCCTCCTGCCGTCCGCAGACCCAGAACCGTCCATCGTCGAGGAGCAAGAGATGGATGTACGTCGCCCCCCTCCCTCCCACCCCACACACACACATGATCCATCCATCCATCCATCCATCCATTCTCTCTCTCTCATTCCCTCTGTCCATGTGTGTGCAGGATGAGAGCCGCATGAAGGGCTTCCAAGGAGAGGTGGCCAAGCGCATGATCCGCAACACCCTCGGACTCGGCCGCCAGTCATACGATCGAGATCATCGGGGCAGCTTCAACCGCGGCGACCGAGGCGGCCGGGGATATGGTGACCGCGACCGGTCATATGAGGGGCGGAGAGGCTACCAGAACGGGCCGGACAGGAGGCAGACCGACCCTGGCCACTACTACGGTGCGTGTGTGTGTGTGTGTGTGTGGTGGGAGGGAAGAGGACACGCCATATACACATGTGGGATGTCCGTGTGTCTGTGCGCTGCGTGTATGTCTGTCTGTCTGCAGGGTGCCTTCCAATGTTCCCCGTTCGCGGGCCGCCGATGATGGTCCCTGGCGGCATGGGCATGGATATGATGGGCGGTGGTGGCCCGCCGCTCATGCGACCACCTGTGCCTACACAACACCCCTGGCAGACCATGCAGAGTAATCGCCCACCACCCACCGATACGCCGACATCTGTCTGTGTATCTCTCTCTGTGTGTGTGTAACAGTGGGCGGCGGCAGCACGCATGATCGTCTGTACGGGCAGCCCGGCATGGGGCCTCCTTTGTTCGGCGGACAGCAGCAGCCAGGCATGTTTGCGGGCTTCAACGTGCCCCCACAAGGCGGCCCACCACCTTACAGACCACCATCGGTAAGAGGCCCCCTTCCTCCCTCAATCTCCCCCTCCCGTCACCATCACCATTCGCCATGTGTGTGTATGTGCAGTATGACCGCGAGCGAGGCCGAGGGTATGATGACCGGTCGTACTCCCGAGACAGCCGCGACTACGGCCCTTCACGCCACGACCGAGGGCGGCCCAGATATGACCCATACGACGAACGAGATCGAGATCGAGAGAGGGAGAGGGGTGGCAGAGGGGGTGGACCGCCATGGCGGTCGTCGTATGCTGGTGGGGGCGGGGGCGGCAGGAGGTGATTCATTCGATGGATGGATGGGTGGGTGGATAATGGAAGCGTGTAAGTTTGGAGCAGGGGAGTGAGTGATTTTTGGGGGCGGGGGGCAGGGTAGGGGGTCCATGGTATGTATGGTGTGGTATGGCTACAAAGTGGGGGTTTGTATGAATAAGAGACACAGACAGCACAACGTACAGAGAATGAATGAATAAGTGATTAATTCGCTCCATGCGGCTCGGCTTCCTTCACGATCGATGTGTGTCTGTATCTGTCATCGACTCAGGCGACAGCAATTAAGGACGCCGTCACATCAGGCACACACCACACACGGGCAGCCACCCACACTCGGGACACACAGAGTATATTAGGTGTGTGGCATAGCCTCCGAAGAAATCGATACAACTTTGGTCACACAGCACTGATGTACTCGATTCATTAGACTAATGACACAGAGTGATAATAAGAGTCATGGCTACGGCTGAGCACTCTCCCTCCCTCCCTCCCTCCCTGTCTCGGTCAACGAAGACACAAATAAGCGGAGCCGAAGCACACAGAGACGAATCGCACCAAAATGTGCGAACACAAATAAATAGGCATACAGACAGCCGGCCAACAGCGAGACGCTCATACATATTGAGACACCACAGAAATACAAATGGGGACCTAATGAACCGACACAAACACATGTGCAGACAGACCATCACCGCCACCACGAGCTGAGATGGGCATCTGTCCTCCCTTCCGTGTCTTTGCACGACGACCGACTCAGCCTTGATGGCCCCTCCCCAACCCTCCCCCTGTGGTCACGCATCCATCCATCCATCCATCCGTCGCCTCTCCATCTCTCCCTCTGCCTCATTTCCCATGCGTATGCAGGATCCCATGAGCCAGACGGCTTCTGAAGCGGACGGCCCACCCTACCCCTATTCCCACCCGTCATCACCCGCCCTGCCCCCTCCCCCTCCCCCGCCACCTCCGCCGCCCCCTCTCCCTCCAGCTCCCC